TTTGTAGGATGCAGGGAACAAGGATTCCATCTAGTGAGGAATCTTGGTACTGCAACTGCAAGATGGTCAGCTAAAGTTTCATATGGATGGTGTGGCGTTAATTTTACATAAACATGATATCATGTACTTCACGTCAAATGGAGTGACGTCTAGTTTATGTAAAATGCACGTACACTTTGGTGACGTAAATATAGGAACGCAAATTTTACGTAAACGTGATGTCATTTTCATGGCAATTGCAAGAAATTTACATTGTTTGCAAGGAACTGATATCTTCTTTACGTAAACATACTGCTTGGGTATTTGAGCAGTGAAGCTTCGGAACTGCGATGACCCGAGCTTTCTTCCAGGTTTTTGGCATCTTGCCCGAGTGCAAGGTGATCGCGAAAAGACCCGAAAGCCAATCTCTTCCTTTGTGGACCAGACTTTTTTTCCTTTCTAGGAAATCCCGGATGATTTTTGATCTGGGCTCTGCCTCATTTTGGGCCGGAGAGAACGCCATTAAATTAATTGAAACAACTTCTTTTTTAAAGCTCGCACGATCGCCTCGAAATTCCCCGCCCGAGACCCTCAAGCCCTTATTTCCCTTCCCTGCGCTTTAACCTTTGAATAAGTGCAACAAGTTAATAAGTGAATTTAGCACTTATCCGTAAATTCAATCCGTAAATTTAAATTCAATTTTTCGGAGGTTTTAGTTGTTCCCTAAATCATTCTCAATATGCTTTAAGAGACAGAGGATCCTTGAAGACATGATCGTTCGCTCTCCGTTTAAACAAACTTCTGGTCTCAAGCATCCCAATTGCCTTGCATTCATCCCACTCACAACTTGAAATTGCGTCCAAAGATCTATTATCGACCCTTCCACGCTGTTAAACCCCCAACATTTCGCCAAACAGTGAAATTTCCTGAAGGAAAGATTAAAGGAACCAGCGGCCGACGGTGGCGCCGCCCTCTTCTCCAAATCCGCGGGAATCCGGCAAGTTTTCACTTCTTAGGACCCTGAACCTTCGCTCGATTTCTTTTGCACGTCTTCAGAAGTTACCCTGGCTCGCTTCATCCATAAAAGCCTATTAGCTGATCGTTTGCGACTATTACTATGACCCCGGAGCCGCTATTGAAATTAGAGCGTTTAGAAAGTTTTCACCGTAAATAATAATCCCACACCTTAGAAGCTCTATTCGCATGGTAGGCAAACACAAACCTATTTACAAAATTTCAGCAGGATCGGTGGACTCCTTCAAGATCGTGTTTTTTTTTGGCAATGAGTACAAATTTAAACTCTGCGGATTCCACCTCGTTGAGAAAACCACACGCCTGACAAGTCAATGGAGATCCCATGTAAAAATGACAGGTCGAACGACAACGCGCCAACCTGACAAATGGCAAATTCGACAGATTATTCCTCTTCTGACAGCATGCGTCTCACGTGGAAATTCTTTCCATGTTCGCGAGGGAAATTTTTCGCATGTTTCGTGCCGAACCACCCTCCAGAGCCATTCTCATCGTGATCAGGAAACTGAGCAGTCATCTTTCCCGATCCGTAGTTAGCTCATAAAATTATTAATCAAATATATTTTATTCAATTTTCTGCTTTCCGTGATTAAACTTAAATTCCTGTGCTCCACTTTCGAACGGATTAGAGGTTAGTAGAAATCCATCCGCATCTTCTTCTCCTAAATACTTATTTGCAGAAATTAACAATTGGCACACGGTTCGCTCGAAATAGACATTCTTGGGAGCAATGTCATTTAAAGCAATGAAATGGGGAAGAAAAGGCAAGAAAAAAAAGGTTGATGCATCTTTCCTGACCGTTAAAAAATTGCGTACTCGGACTGTTACACTTTTGATGAATGACACATGGAAAAGTCTAAAGATAAAGTTGCTGGTGTAAGTAAAAAAAGAAATCGACAAATTAAAACACTTTACAGCATTTTTGTGCATTCTTGTGCTATAATTTGCATGCACTAAATAACTGCATGGAAGAAATTTGTTAGGTATTAGGCATAATTACTAAAGTGAAATCGATTAAAATTGTACACGCACACCTCCTGATACACACAAGAGAACAGTCGAAGCACCTTCAAGTGCCAACCTGGAATTTGCACAAATATTTAATTTGGGGACTGACCGTGGCTCCTCGGGGGAGAAGGACTCGAGCGAGTCCCTGGGAGCGCAGACTGCCTTCCGCAGCATGGAGATCATCCCGCGGCGGAGCTGCGTGTTCATCAGGAAGTAGATGAGGGGGTTCCAGATGCATTTCGACTTGGCGAACATCGTCGGGAACACGTACCTGTCGGATGGATGGGAATCAGGTAACAGGTAACATAATATCGAGACTGGAAAAGTTGCGATTAGTGTTTCATGCTCTTTATAAGCATATAAATTTCCCTAGCCGGCTGAATTTTCGCGTGAATTGCATCGGAATGTATGAATAGAAAGGAGAAAGGAAATTGCAAAACATGCTTGCGACTTGGCTTTCATCCGATTTATGGCCAGGCCGTGATTTGGCGAACTTGAAATTACCTGATCCGTTGAAATAAAATCCGTATTTGAATTTATTTCCCCGGAAATGTACAAGTCTCCTCGATGTTTCGTAAAATAAATTGAAATAATATCATCATGCATAATTGTCACCATCTCTTTTACATCATACCGGAAGGAGCATACAGAGAGGAAATTTTCATGGAAAACGGGTTCTCGATTTATAATTAAGAGGATTTCCATTCGATAATAATGAAGAAATATTCTTCGATCGGGGTACTTGGAGCGACGAAAATTGGTTCTCGCCATAGCCGACGCCCACAAACAGCAAAACAAAGAAAATCCGATTCAGACGCTTCCTATCGACCTGTTGTCACTGGCTCGTCATTTGCATCGATTGGCTGAGACTGGAAGACGGGATGGAGGCAGACGGGATGGAGGCAGACGGGATGGAGGCAGACGGGATGGAGGCAGACGGGATGGAGGCAGACGGGATGGAGGCAGACGGGATGGAGGCAGACGGTGGAGGCAGACGGGATGGAGGCAGACAAAGCGTCCACCGAGTGGACGTTTCGTTCGTTCTTCGGGCTCGGCAGTCAGAGGAACGTTGCATAATTCAAAAATCACCGATGAAAGCCGTAGACAGATGTTGCATGCAGTAGATGGCATTTAGAGCATTTAGGGCTTTGCTTTACGGCTTTCACACGTGTGACTTCCTGATATTTTATCCCATTAATTAACCCCTCCCCCGCTAATCAGAAGCATTCTTTAAATGAGACATTTAAATAATATATCATGAGAAGTTTTCGCCAATTCATAGGCCAACGAAAATAATCGGTCCTCTGCAGCGACGACAGGTGTCAAAACTCAGGTGGAAAGGAAAAAAAATTCGAAACCGAGGGAATCTGATTCTACAACGAATCCGAAGATTCGCGGGAAAAGGAACTCACATGATCGGAGGCAAATCACAATTCAGCACGGACAGGAGGGAGACCAACGCGTACGGAGTCCACACGAACATCAGCACGCACACCATCACCATGTTCATCTGTCAAATTAAATTTCCTAAATTTAAAATACTTTACGTTTACGTAAGTTTACCCAAATAATGAACCAATCCATGGTTAAAATCTTTATGTCTATGAGTTTTTTCGTGACGATGAAAACATGGCTATCAAAAGGATCTAAAAGTAAATAGTACCATGAAACATAAATAACAAACATAGGTTAATAAGAAATTCATCGTAGCTGAAAATATTCCAGTAAACTTACTTATGGGCTACCCTGTATATACTAACGAATTATTAGGGTATAGAAAAAGGGGGACCTTCAGCAACTCACTGGCAAAATGCATGGGCCGAGATTTATCGATACCGCACTGTTACGCCCAGAAAGCCACAAACGGAAAACATACGGACAATGTATGAGTCTCTTGCGGGAGAGACGGGGAGTACAAGTACCAATAGATGCGGGACGAGTACATGTCCGTTCGGAGTGAGCATGCATGGTACTTGTGGTTGGGCAGGAAAATCGTCCACAAAATCCATCCGGGAGACTCCTTGCAACCCCATTTGAATGTTAAAGCCTTAATCCCTAGGGCCGTCATTTCATGCCTACCCTACCTACCCGACCCTACCTACCCGACCCTACCTACCCGACCCTACCTACCCGACTCTACCTACCCGACCCTATCTACCCTACCCTACCTACCCTACCCTACCTACCCGACCCTACCTACCCTACCCTGCCTGACGTCTACCATTTGACCCATAGCGCACTCAAATCACCATTGGGATAGAGCCTTGGGGCTGGTACGGATGCACATAGTCCTGCATCACGAAGAGTTCCTTCATGGCAAATGGTAGTTGCAACAATCGGGACGCGTTCTTCACGTTTCACTCGCACTCCTTCCATCCAGACGCTCCTGGCTTGGAGAGGCTTCGTTCCTATGTTATATGATAACATAGGTGGATTGCCTCGGTCTTGAGATGTTTCTCGAGCTAGGCTTATTGATATTAGTCTCGAGTGTTGATCGGGCGACTAAGTGTTTTTTAATCGGTCTGTTTGAAAGAAAAAAATATAATAAATTTGGAGTGAGAAGAGTGAGCGCCATTGAACTGCAATGTTAGATAGAGGCTGACTCCGGTTTTCCTACTGCTTTGCTTATTTCCCTCCATTTTCTGCTCCGGAAGAGCAGAAAGGGGAAAAAAAAATTTCCTCTCATTTCACTCCTCTCGCAGCAGCAATGGATGGAAATTGGAGTCAGGGCTCACTCTCCGAAGAAATGCAGGATTTCCGGTTTTGAACGGCTGGAATTTCGGGAGAAAAACGATGTTAAAATGCGATATTGTTTCCCTTGCTTCTTTTACCTAAAATTCAGTAATGGATTTTCTCTTGCTGTTGAACAGTGTCTATGCGTCCGCAGTCGTCGGATTAACGACTAATCTTGTCCGTGGAGTGAGTCCGAATCCATGATCTTAAATGTATCATTCCCCAATAAAATTGCCCAATTTCCCATTTCATTTGGTTTGATGCTCTTTGTGAGTCCATTCCGAGGCCTCCACCAGACGATTGAGGAGATTCAAGCGAAAGACGTCTAAGATGGCCAAAGAGGCTGCAGCCGCCGGCGAACCCCGACGACCGCGCAACACGACAATCCAAAGCAGTTCCCTTCGCATTCCCTCAACCTCCTCACATCCTCCGGATCGCTCCACCGGGAAGCGCATCTCCGTGACTTTCCTGTCCACGTCTTCCCTCTGCATCGTTCCGGATAGAGGGACCAGCCTCCTCTGATTTTGAATACTCTCTTCGTAAAAGGCGAGCACTAACTCCAGTTTTCTTCTCATTTTGCTCGTTTTACCCCATATCTTACTCTGGAACAGCTAAAGAAATAGGACTTTTGTGATTTTTCTGTATTTCCTCTTTTCTCAGTGTAAAAAGGAATGAAAAATGTAGTTAGTACTGGCTTATTTCTAAGAGCGTGGGGAAGGCCGTTCTTTCTGCATCTAATATTCTAGTGCGAATTAATGCCATTTTAAGGAACCATTGACTGAAATATAGAATCGGTTATTTTCCGACCGTACACGTAAAACAAACGGTCCGGAACGAAAACTCCAAAAACGCTGGAACCAGTCCTATCGTCCGAACCGTCTCTCACCTTGAGCAGGTGGCGCTCCATGGGCTTCAGGTGGAGGCAGTCGCCGCAGGACCCAACGGACTCCTCCCCCACGGACATCCCCCCCGAGCCGATGACGGTCGGGTGGTATCGCATCACGTGGCGCAACAGGATCGTATACAGGGTGACCACCAAGACAATCGGCAACAGGTAGCAGAAGGTGATGCAAGCTGCACGGCCAAGGAGAAGACCTGTCGTTTAATCCAAATATTCCTCGGCCTCTCTCCCTTCGAAGCCGTTCCTTTGAAAGCTCATCACATTCCGCTGTGGCGGTATTTTCCACATCATAGGAAAGCTGTGTAAAGGTAACCTTCAAACGATGCCCCAATTACCATAATCACTGCAAGCGAGGAAGAACAAGGACTTCATCCAGCACCCCGCCTCCCCTCAAGGTCATCGCTGTGCAACTCAAGATAACGTAGACACCCGAAGGCTTTCCTTTGAAAGTAATACATAGACCAGTGGGGGGGGGGACATTGAAACACGGCAGAATGTGGCATTTCCTGCAACAACGACTTGAGAACGATGGTGACTTCAATTTCTCGAAACTTGTCTGTTTCCTTGCATAGTGAGCACAGCCATCCATCGAAAAAAAAAATCCGATGGCTTTCGAAGTTACCCAGTTCACTGATAAATCCACTCAAAAAATTCGTTATCCACAAGGAATCGCAGAAATGCGGCACCATCTTGCTGAAAGTGCAAGCTGTATCCAATTTCTTATGGTGAGAACGCACCATCCATAACCATAATTAAGTTTAGATTCTCTATGGATACTTTTTCCCCCTTTAATCCCTACGGATAAAGAAACAGTTTTTCTCCACGGCATAATTGGTTCCCATGTTGAAATGTTGAACGAATGCCTCTCCCCCTTTGTAATTATTTTGGAAACAAGCATGTTAGTCTCCCATAGGAAAACATGATATCGACACGAAGATAGGAAAACCCTCACTCGGCACACAAAGACACAGATGATCGTCTAATCGAAAATACAAAAAAAATGCAAGAAAAAAAAAACTCACAGACGATGTAGATGATGGCAGACAGGCTGCCATCGTGCCAATCGACGGAGCACGACGTGTGAAACGGCTCGGGGCCGTACCGGGACCAAAGCCCGAAGAGCGGCGGGAGGGTCCAGAACGCGCTGAACGCCCATACAGACGCGATGATCCCGTGCGTCGCTCTCCCGGCGAACTTCTTCTCTGTGAGATGAAAAAAAAGTTTCATTTTAATTTACGTGAATGAACATAAATATTAAAAGCGAGGACTTTTTGCCTGTTTGTCTGCTGGAAAAGATACAGCGGGTCCCTGCTTGCTGTCATCATAATGGCGCAAATGCCTTTCATGAGAGGAGAAGCGGAGAGATGTCGACAGCGACTCATGGAAAACTTGAAATTTTGTACATTTCTTGAAAACATTTCTTGCGAATTTCTTGAAATTTGTACATTTCTTACCGAATCGCATTTATTGGACTGAAGCATTCATTCGAAGTCGTTGAGGTGCAAACAACGATTACTTGCCCGAATCTTATCGCCTGGCTGTCATGCAGACATTGACCTTGAATGTTCTTGAACAAGTGACCTTGAACGTGCAGATCTTCAAGGACTTGGAACGTCCTCATTGAGCAAGTAATGACCTTTGTTTTTTTTTGCATTTACTCAGTGTGGTAGATCCTCAAAACGATCCACACTTTCTCACCAGTGTCACCCTCATCAATCGAATACAGAAAGCCAAACTGAAGCAGCTCGAAAGAGATATGACCGATTTCAATAGTTGGTAATTACCGGGCTAATTAGTTAAACATTAATCAAGGTTGTTCCCGTTTTTCGTGGTTCTGACCGGAGGAGGAGTCTCCCTCAAATCCGTGGAAAAATTCTCTTCTCTTTCCTTTTCCTCCATGCGATTCGATAACTCCATCGATGGAGTAGTTGGACGCGACTTAATCACGGAAGTCGGCGGTGGCGATGATACAAACAGGCGAAAAATCACATACGGCCGATGACAATAGCTTGTGACCACAATAAGACCACCGTCTTCCGCGCTGTCGTTTCAATACCTTGGAGTTCCATCCCAAATAGGGGGCCTTGTCAAGGCTTTCATCCCAAATACGGGGCCTTGTCAAGGCTTTCATCCCAAATACGGGGCCTTGTCAAGGCTTTCATCCCAAATACGGGGCCTTGTCAAGGCTTTCAGGGCTTTCATCCCAAATACGGGGCCTTGTCAAGGCTTTCATCCCAAATACGGGGCCTTGTCAAGGCTTTCATCCCAAATACGGGGCCTTGTCAAGGCTTTCATCCCAAATACGGGGCCTTGTCGCGATACCCTTCGAGAATCAAAGGACGCACGGGAAATGCCAGGAAACGCGCATGGGGAACCGTTCCCTCGCTTCTCACGAAATCCCTCGTTTCGTCGGGCTCCACTTACTGTAATTCCTCCCCAGATGAAATTCCCCAGCTCGCAACAGGAAAAGCAGAAAAGATGAAAACGGTCTCTCATGCATGCGCGACTCAGTGGAAACTCCGAAGCTCGCAATCGAATCAGGCAAACGAAATTCCCCGAGAGGCATCGTTCCGTGTTCAATTTCGAGCTCGGGAAATATCAATAATTTCATGAAGAATGAAAAGGAGTGGCATCGGGGAATTCCAGTGCACCGGGAAGCACCCATAAATGTAAAGGGTGGGCAAGGGCACCGACGACATTTTCTTTACGAACAAATTATTTTCATTTATAACATTGTTTAAAACGAAAATAATTCGTTCCTCATCCCCCCCTCCCCCCCCCCAAAAAAAAAAAAAAATTTCCTCTGTTCTAACCCCCCTCCCCCCCCCCAAAAAAAAAAAAAAAAATTTCCTCTGTTCTAGTCGGCTTTATCGAGCCTCAGGGCATTGCTTACGAATATCAAAGGCCTTTTTGCCCCTCGATCTTCAAAACTTCTGGATTTTGTCTTGATAGAAATCTTAAATCTTCTGCAACAGACCCCACATTTCAGCTCCTTGGTCAGCCTCATCCCGCATTAAGAAAAAGTTCGGCACCTTGCAGAAAATTAAACTCCCCAGGATGTCACAATCTTGTGGAACGAGTTTCTACTAGGGTTTAGGTTGTCAAATTGGCTAATTATTATTAGCCATTATGCCAATGCATGGAATGGCATGACCTGGCCATGACATGGCTTCCAGTCTGGACCAGATGAGTTGCCTGCCCTTTGGAACCTTTATGTGCTCCTTGATAGATATAGTCGACGATATACGCGTCGACGAAAAGCCGTCGATGGCGCCGATGAATATTTTTTTTACTGGACAGAGTTAGCACATAACAGTGCACATCAACGCTGAGCCTTGGCGGGTCATGTAAATGAGGATATGGATTTGGAAGTGAAATGGAATTTAAAATTTAAAAAACATTTCTATTTCAGCAAACAACTCTGGAGCAGGGTTATTCCCAATGGCGTTCATGGCAAGTTGGCAGTACTTTTAAAACAGGATGGAATTGAACATCCATAGATAGCTCCGGGTCTACCAGGACAAATTTAACCCGATGTCATAAATGAACATAGGAACAACGTCCATCCAATGCTCTCAGGATTAACGTTACTTTAAGCGTTACTAAAAGGAACATTTCAACACTGTGCTAACGTTCGCTGCAATGCTGGAACAGCGTCAGCCGCGAACGTTGTATTAGCACTTCCTTGACGTTCGTGTGTTTCCTGTGTAGTGACTGGAAATAGCTTATTCCCCCATGCTGAGAAAAAAGTCCCAAGACTAGACAAGTTCAGTCGGCTCCCCAATGCCGGGAGTCAACTGGACAGCTGCAACTTGACATGAATGGTTTTTTAATGAGCCGTGCTGTGGCGCCGCCATGCGACTATTTCACGAACTTTTCAATATACCCCCATGACGAGAATCTCTCATCCGATGGCTTTCTCAGGCAGTTTCCATTTGAACCCATGTTTCATTTCAATTCCATTAAAATCCCTGAGGAACGAAATTAATTATACATGTTAACAAGTTTCCCCTTGCATGGATGGGGGGGGGGATTCCTCTGCTCTTAAGATGCAATATTCTCTCTGGATCATCTTTCTTTCATTTGCAAGGGCTGAACAAATCTCATCGCTCAAGATTTGGAAACATAAGATCTGATTAAAGAATGCACGAGGTGATGCCCTTGCATGAACCCAGGAATGAAAAGCAGAACTGAATATGCAAATCTTTCGCATTTCAAGCAGGAAACGAGAAGACCAGAGAGGAAACAGACTCTCATTTCAAATAATTTCCCATTTTCCTTTTGGTCTGAGGCAAGCACCTTGCGATACAATGGATCGAATTCCTTTCATGAAGTATTTTTTCATGAAGTATTTTTTCATAAAGTATTTTTTCATAAAGTATTTTTTCAGAACCGGACAGCAAAACACAAGCATTCTCAGGGACCTGAGCGACACGAGTTGCAAACGAGGTTCATTCGGTTCGTGCCTTCCAACCGACGAGAGAAAACCGCTATAATCTATTGCATCGCTAAAGAGCGGTAGTTCCTGCAGCCTCTGACAATCCCTTGATAAATGCATTTTCGTAATTGATCCAATTAATCAGATGTAGATCACAAAAACGAGGATGAGGGCTTTAAGACGTGATGTCCCAGTCCGAAGTTTCAATATAATTTTTGAAAAGTTTTAAATATCTTTTTTTTTCATATGAAAAGGTGTCATATCACCAAGCACTGCATTTTGAAATTATTATAAATACCTCGTATATTCCTATTTGGATATCTTGGGAATGAATGATTAACTCTCCTCCCGCCAAATTAGTACGGGAAAAGGCCTTGGAAGGGATCATTCGGATTATCCGGGTGATTGTCTGCCTAACCAAGAAAGTGGAAGGAGGAAGGGATTGCTTATTTATAAATTATTAATTTGGCTGTGATATATTAATGTCGTTATTCGAATATTTATCGTTTTGCTAAAGCATTTTCACAAACCAACTAAGATGTGAGGTAAGAACGAAAAAATAATAATAAAGACGGTTCCAACGGGAATGATCAAGGGGAATAAGTAAATCTGCACAACATGTGCAAAAATATTCATTTTAAGCGCTGGCTATGTGATGATCAGTGAATAAGTGGTTAATATGAAGTTAAACCGTTCAAACGCAGGTTATGCGACTGTGGAATGAGACAGGTTCCTTTGGCGCGCCTGCGCTTCCTTCAAATTTGCTCAAATTTGCTCTAATTATGCAGCTGCAGAGAATTCCAAACGTTCCCAGAGCGGATCATACGGCGTATGGAGAAGCAGATGGGGAATAGCTGATGTACATTTGTATGCATAGCTTCTTTCCGTAAAAAAAAAACCTTTGAAACCCTAAATTCACTCAAATTTGCGAGATCTGAAGGAAACAGTGAACCGAGTCTGGTATTTTTCAATAATTACATTCTTTCAATGCTGCAGAGAAACTGCAAGAAGGTGATCTTTGGGACGGAGAGAGACGTGGGATGAACAGGATAGGATAATTTTTAAATTACCGAAAAACATCGGAAAAAGAAACGAGCATTGAAACTCACTGAGATTGGGTCTGAAGACGATCAGGTAGCGGTAAATACAGATGGCAACCTGGGTTGCCACGGTACTCTGTAAAGACAAGAAAAGAAGCCCAAGTTTCAGAGGACCTCAGTCTCAGGAGAAATTGTAACATGGTAAGGATTTTTTAAAATAGGAAATGACAAATCCAATATATAAATCCTCATCTCGATTTTTGCCCTTTTTTGCTCTCTAAAACGTAGCCTTTTCTTATTTCTTATTTACCTTGTTTCCTCTGATATTTCCAGCCACCATAATGAAACATACTTAGTGGACTTGAGATAATTTGATGACTGTAAATCACCCTCGACCATGATGGTAAGTTGAATGCATTTAGATTGAGTTACGTCTTTGTGTAGCATTTTCCTTATTTACTCACCTTCTTTTACGAGTTATGGGACGATTTCCTAGACTTCTGGATCTCCCAAGAAAGATAAACTTTTTGCAGCTCGAGTAGAGGATACAAAAATTTCCAATATTTTTCTCTCACAATTAATTTCAGCAACATCACGATATCAATTAAAATAAAAACTGACAATCTTGGCTAATTCTCTATTAATTAAAATTCTGAAGACGTATGATGCAATGTACCAGGGAAGTCGTGAAGCAAACGAAGGCGTAGACCTGGCAGAGAGCGTCCGGAAACACCCAATATCCATAGTAGCCCGAGATCGTGGTGAAGGGATAGCCGAAGAAGGAGACGAGGAGGTCGGACGCTGCCAGGTTCAAAAGGAGCTGCATGTGAGGATCCCGGCGAAACCGTCTGCCGTGGATGATCGTCGCCACGAACAGGCCGTTGCCCACTGTCGCCAATATTCC